CTGCTGTAGATCAGTGTTGTCACTATTCAGATTGCCCTTATTAATGTAAAGCTTGACATCTTTTTTCATGATGGCAATGTAGGCATGATTTTGTACAGCAATGTCAAGCCATTTCCTGCTTATTTTGAATCATGGGCATAGATTCACACTGTCTCACGTTCATAAACTGGAAGTTTTTTGAAGAACTGATTTTTTAATCCCTGAGGACTTGAAAGGTTGATCTATTTAATGAATAAAGCTTGTAGTATACAGTATTTTAGGTCTGTTCCACTTCTGAATGGAGGTACAGTTAAATGTTTTAGTGCTTCAGATGCTGAAACTTTGTTGTGCTGTGAAGATAGCATGATGGGAAGGAGATTTTAACCTTTGTCCCAATGTGCTAGTACTGTGTATGGAGTTATTTCTATGTGCATAAACGTTCAAGTATGAATCACTCCACCCTACAGTCCTAAATAATTCAAGCTCAGGGAGAGCCATATAATTTTTCTGAACCTACAATTTAGCCCCCTTAGATGATATGTTAAGATTTATTCTAGTGCACCTGTAGTTTGTTCTCTTTGAAGCCTAGTAAGAATTAGAAATAACCCATCTATTTCAGTTGTTCATTTGAGGCATGTATGTAATATCTGTTAACACTTCAAACTGCCCAGGGATTGGGCATCCAGTTGCTTTTGACATACTGAAATATGATGCTTAGAGTTGTGCTTATTGTTAATATTTTTGAACAAAGGACCTGCTGAATCTTCACTTAACTGCTATGTTATCATCTATCTACTTTGATAAGTGATGAAGCATTCCAGAGACAGCAGTAGTTTGCGTTCCTTTGGGAGAGAGATTATTCCTGACATATATTCTCGTCCTGATGTTTGGTTTATTTACAAATACACAAGTAAATCTTGTAGAAAGCATTCAGCTCATAAGTCTTTGTGTTCCTGTAACATAATTTTTTTATCATCAAATGTCCAGTTTTCAAGCCCACCCCAACTTCCTGGTTTAGTAACTGTGAGAGGAAAAATAAATTGTCTGGTTTTCCAGGTTTTTGTGGTTTTCTTTTCACTGATTAATACCCTAACAATTTGCTTCCATTAAAGGAATCTGTATCAGTTATTTGAGGCAATTTTGGAGGCAGTTTGTTTGACAAAAAATATGCCTGGCTAGCAGCCATGGCCCTATTTGTGTGTTAACTGAGATTCATCTCCATATTTGTTATAATTGTAATTCTGTATAATATATTGCCTTTTTATGTGGAGAATAATTGCTTGTAATATTTGTACGTGGTGAGATTGCCTTTAGGTAAATGCTGTGAGGACTGGTGAGCTCAGATGACTTGTTATGGAAAATTTATTTTTGCTTGGTAGAGTTGGCAAATGGGAAAATATTGGTTTAGAAAGAGTCTTTAGTTATTTCTTTTGACAAATCAGGAATCACACAAGAAGTACAAAATTACAAATGAATATTAATACTGATAAATTTAAATTATATCTTGAAAGCAAACTGGGAATGAAGATTGCTGAAAGAGCTTTAAATATAACTGGACACGTAAAACAAGTATGGGAAATATGTGGTACTCCTGGTATTCTTGAGATGAAGCTTCTGCCAGTCCTAGCCAGTATACCAAACAATCAGGGATCATGGAGCTGTAATGCAATAATACTTGGCTTCACGTTCCCCATTCCTTGTGTAAAGCATTGTGTGCCAATTTGTACACTTGTCTGATCAAATTGGGAAAGTAGCAATGGGACGTGTAATTTAATCAAGAAGATGTTTAATATAATGGCAGTCTTTAACAGTGGCAGATTTGACGAACAAGCATTTTTAGATTTAGGGTTGCCACAAACCTTTCCTCACTTATATCATTTAGAGGTGAGAGTGGCAAGTCTCTCCTTTGCGATGGATTTAGTAATGACTCACAATTTTACTTTAGACTTGGGAATTAGTGGGAGTTGCGGTGGCTGTTTGAATGATTTATCCTAGAAGACTTGGATGATAAGAGCTTTTAATGCCAGCGATTTGAATTGCTAGTTCTCAGTGCATTTTTTAAAAATTTTCACCATGCTTGGGTATAGATAATTCTGAAATGAACTTCTTTACTGTATATGGTTTGATTTCCTATGTATATAAGTGCACACATACAATACAATACAGTATAATACAATACAATACATTCTCAGGTGATAGATTTATGTATATAGAGCTAGTAATACTTGTGAGTGTCAGCATTAGACTCCTATTCTTTACCTTCTTCACATTCCTTTACTACTAGACACTGAAAGTCAGCATGGCTGTACCAGCTCATTGTGGTAGCCCTAAACAGTGATGTGGTTAAGGCTCCCACAACTGCATCCTAACCAGTTTCCAAGATCCTTTTTTTTTAAGATATGTAGTAATTTGGCCATTTTGCCCTGTCACTTGCACAGTTAGTGGTTAAGCAAAGTATAATATCTAGTGAGGCATGTAAGTTGGTTCTCCCACATTCTTGTACTTGCGGCTTAGTATTTTTAGAATCTGTAGATGTGGTTTCCCTGAAAATGCTGTCCTCTTCCCACTAGGTGGGGTTCCTTCATTCTTTATGGTACATGAGTTAGTTCTTTGGGGATTCCTAGTGGGCAGTTGTGGTTTATTCAGTGTGTGCGTGTGTGTATGGGTAGGGGCTCACTGAAAATGTGGAACAAGATTAGACATTTTCTTAGAAAACTCTTATATGTGAATAACTTTATTTTAAAGATTATCAGTAGGTTTCTTTGTATGACAACCATATATTGTTTATATTTAGCAAAGCATCCTTTTTCTATAGTAAAGGTAGACTAGGAAAGAGCATGGGCACTTCTATTGTGAAGTTTCTTTTCCCATTCAAATTACTAAGGGAAAGTATTTTAGGTTTACTATGGTAGAATAATGTTTTTCAGACTTATTAATAGTGAATTCATGTTACAATTCATTTGCAGGTCACAAACAGTTCTTAGACTAGAAGAATATTGCCTAGAAGAGTGAACTATATTACAATTAGAATTGTGTGATTTTTATTATCTGTTTCAGCATGTTCAAAATTTCAGTTTTCTGGAAGAATAAACTGAAAGTGGCAGCATGACCTGTTTTTCTTTCAGCAGTTAAGTAATCTGCTGAACAGAGGTGAATTTTAGACCATGTTGTTCATCTTAGTTATACAATTAGAGCAAGAGAAGACTGTAAATGGAGCTAAATTTTAGTAAAAATTCAGGGATACTTTCTGTAATAATTGACTAGTTGTAGTTTGAATGTGCTTTCAAATTGCAGCATTGATTGCAACACTGAATACTTGTTCTCTTGTTACCAGAAAAGTAATTCAGTCATGGTTAAAGACATGAAAATACATGTTGTGCTATGATAACATTTTCCTTTGTTTGCTATGGACTTAAAAGTGAAATTACCAGTCTACTTAGACTGAGATCAGTGAGTAAAGCATGTGTTCTTTAAATGAACATGTTGATCTTCAACACATTTAATCACAAGCAATTGGAGCAGAATTCAGTGGGATGTGATTACTGATAAGAGAGTTTAGAATTGAGCTTAAAATATAGGAGATCAAAATATATATTTTAAAAGGATGTGATTTAAGCCAGAACTGCTATATTAGTTGTGCTGTGCCTTTCTGAAATTATTTTGAGCTCATGGTCCATTCTTCTTTTTACACATTCCTCTGAAATATGTAAAGACACTGGTGCTTGTGTCTGAGAGGAAATTAGACAAAGTAAGTTTACTGTACCTGGTTACTATATTATAACCATGATACAGAAATTACAAGAGGGATCTTGCTTGCCCTTGTGTGTTTCCTTTTAATTTTTAACATATGACATGTGCTTGTTTCATGAAAATGACTTGGTGTAAATATTCCTATCATAATGTACGTAAATCAGCAAAAATATCTTGAATAATTTCATATTTGTGATAAATCACAGGGTATATAATAAAGATAGTGACCATAACTCTGTTGGTGATTTACTCTTGTGCAAGTGAAATCATGTAAATTGAAGTGGCAAATTACCACTAAGTAATTTGCCACTCCAGCGTTTATGATTTCACTTATGCTAGAGTATAGGTGCAATCATGCAGTTGGATATGTGTCTAGAAACTTATATATAGCATGTTGTAATGCCATTTGTTACTAGTTAACAACTTGTATATGATTTAGCTCCTACAAATACATTATTAATTGCCAATAGGATTCTGGTCAGTGCTATGTCATATTTGAAAGTAGGTTTTTTAGTGTCTTTTCTCAGATTAGGGATCAAGACAGATGATAATTTAGTCTTCTGTGTTGGATGGGACATCCTTGAGATTGCAGAGTTAGGTTTTGTCAGGACAGGACAAATATAGGGAAGAAGATAAAGTCTGACCTTCCCGTCATGATCTTATGGTTCAGTATCAGACGATTGGAGTTTCATTCACTGCATGACAGTCTGTCCTGCTGTTAATGATTCCAGATTCTTCTTGAATAATGTGGAATATAATTTAGCATTATGTTGAAATGTGACATTTGCTTAATTATCAAAATGATCTGGACTGCAATGATTCACAAACTGTTTATTTAGTTACAGCCTGTTCCTTTGTTATGTATACTTGTTTTATTTTGTGTTGGATACAGTAAACTTTTGCACTAATGGAATGAAATTCCTCAATGAAAAGTAATCAATGAAAAGTAATGTTGAATTATCTTTTGTTTTTTATTTTTTTCTGACAGCTAAGTTCTTATTATTTATGCTTGTTTTCTTTTATGCAAGCTTGCTAATAATGTGAAAAATTGAATGGTGGAGTAGATTGATTAGAAAAGAGGAGATACGGTAGTGATAGACAGTCATGCAAAAGACCACTGTGGTGGTAATAATTAAATGCTTGATACTTCATGCAACAAATATTTTTAGTAAGAGAATAATAAAATAACCCTGAAACATTAAGAGTGGAAGTTAATATTTTTAAATAGTGTGTTGGGTAACTCCCCCTTTTTATTTTCTTGATTTGAATAGAACCTTCAGATTAAAACTTTGGCAGATGATGTGGTAAGATCCTCATATCCTGGCTTCTTATTTATCTCTAGTGCATGCTGCTTGTATTGCATAAGAGTAACCATGTACAGTAAAACTTGATGGGTAAGAAGTACTCCACTTGAATAATCTCCAACTTCCTGTGAGGAAATGGGTCTTGGGCGTCCTTCACTCTGCAAAACTCTAGAATGTATTTGGGAAATTTCCTAGAACTCATTTCCAGAACATGAGATACGCTTTGGTGTTGTTTTTGGCTCTAGTCTGCTAAGGTAGGATGTAGTCATTCATACATGAATCCAAACTGCATATTTATCTACAAGCCCAGTAACTCCTGTACTTTCTCTTTGAAGTGTACCACTAACCTTTGCTGCTTTTACCATTTGTAAGTGCAATGTAAATTATACAACTTACTATGGTATCTATGAAATGGGACACATTTTTGTCTCCTTTGAGGAAGCTGGCCATTGGTGCAGTTTTGCACGCTATGATAATGGGGAGGGGGATAGAAAGCAGTTCACAGAGCTCCAGTTTAATCCTCCTCACTTAAAAGGCTATTTTCAAACCATTCACTTGAAGCAGAATTTCTCTCATGTTTCCCAGCAATTTTCTTTCCCCCTGGTCTTTGTTATGCAAGATACACTCAGAAGAGGTGGAAGTGGAGATTATTCTTTTCTACTAATATGCAAGTATGCATGCATGCACTGCTGAAATGGAGAAGAAATTGACTAAACCATTATGTCTTTAATATTGTGCTTCTTAATGTTGCTTTCAGCTATTGCCTGTTAAACCCTTAGGTTAAACTTTGTATTGAAGTGATGTAACAGCTAACATATTTATACAGTGAGCACATACATACAGAAATGGATTTTACCCAAGAGTGATTTCAAGATGTTTTGATCCAGACCTGTTAGACTTCCATGATTCTACCATTGTGAATATGCATATCTAGTAAAATGTCCTCAGTTTTTGTAGAATGGGTTGTAGCCTCTGATGTATACGTATCTTCACAGGCAGAGATGCATGTACATCATGTTTCTATGAATATACTAACCATGTAATCTATTGTTGGCTATAAGGCTGGGGATCCTTGGTGTTTTTATATTTGTATATATGAAGCTTTTTAAAGCATTAAATGCTGAAGCAAAATAGTTATAGCACAGAAAAGCAGTACCTGCTTTTCTTCATTTTAGTTGCAGAAGCAATTTAACAAACTTAATTTATATAATTAATACAAATTAGGGTGCTATTTTGTTGCCTCAGAATATGGTTTAACATTAACAGGTTGTATTTCTATGGAGAAGGATTACACTTTTGAGGGGGGAAAGCTCATGGTTAGATGGAATAGAACACTTGTCTTGGAATTGTAGCCACTTGAGTTGATTATCTTTTTGGTGTGATGATAAATGATAAATTTGCATCTCTCACATACCAGTGCTTTAAAAATACGTTTCTGTTTTTTTCTTCAGCGTGACAGGATAACTAGTTTTAGGAAATCAGGCGTCAGAAAGGAGAAGCCTCTAATTCAGCATCCCATTGACTCACAGACATCTATAAATGAGCTGCCAGTGGCTCAACCCCTGTTTGATGAGCGATCAATGAATTTATCAGAAAAAGAAGTTATGGATCTGTTTGAAAAAATGATGGTAAGTTTTTGATGTGTTTGCATATGTATTATGAGCAATGTATGAAGTGTAATTCATGTTATCAGTGTTTTCGTAAGTTTTAAATTTAGTTGTCAAATTCAGAGGCTTGGAAAGAACGTTTCATTTCTATGTAAATGCTTCCAAAATGGCTTCCCTGCTAAGTCCTCATATTTCTAGTGGCCAAAAATATATTGTTGGCTGAGGCATTAGCAGCTACATGTTTAGAGAAATCTTGTGACGCAAAGGCCATTTTCAGTGCCTTTCCTGTGGCCACTCAAAGCAGTGGAATAACAGTTCACTAATACTGTGATCATTTTGTTATTAGGCCTCCTGGGAGAGGCATATCATTCAAGCATGATGAATCCCATCACTTTCCCTGTCTGGTTTTTTTTGTAAGCTTGCCTGTTGAAGTGATACAGAGGTCTTGAATACTCACACAGATTTTTGTCTTTTTTAAATTGACACAATATATTTTTGTACTGTGGATTGTGATGTCACAGTACTTGTGTACAGTAGTAGATCCTTGTGGATGAAGTAAAGTTTTTCATTAAAATTAAAGTATTCAAGTAGGTAAATCTTTTTGTGTCTGTTATTTCCAGATGAAGATATGGCACACATGGTACAGTGGTGCCTTGCTTAACGAGCGCCTCGCTTAACGACAAATCTGCATAGCGACAGATTTTTTGTGATTGCAAAAGTGATCGCATTGCGATGTTTTTAATGGTAAAACATCGCTTTGCAATGATCGGTAAGCTGTTTCGCTTACCGATTTTCGCATAGTGATGTTTTATAAACAGCTGATCGGTGGTTCCAAAATGGCCACCGGAAAAAAATGGCCGCCCACAGTGTTTTCGCACCCATTCCTCACATACCAGGCATACATACATACATACATGCATACATACATACATACATACATACATACATACATACATACATACATACATACATACATACATACATACATACATACATACATACATACATACATACATACATACATGGTCTGTTTCCTTTTCACTCTATGGTTTGTAACCCCTTCAATGTATATAAATGTTATTTGGAAGAAAATTTATAGTAAAATCTGTTGGTCTTGAAGATGGGCAACACTCTTTCTGTTCTTGCCATTTCAGAAATTTTCAAAGATGTAAACATTTGAAATCATAGGAGACATTTCCATGGAAGATATATTTAGCTTAGTTTTAAGATGATAATAATTATTCTGCTTTAGCTAGTGCTCCCACATAAATCATTCCTTGTTAGAAATGCCAAAATAGAAGGCTGTTTGTTTTAAGCTATTGAGAATGTGTATCAACACACTTTGCCTTGTTAATTAGCCCGTAAAGGTAATGGAAATACCATGTGATTTAACTATTAGATATACTTTTTACTTAATGCTTTCTTAATGCTATCTTAAAGCAAGATACCTTTCCCTTTAACAACAATAAATATTTCTATAAATATCTTCTCTGCAAGTCAATTGGAATTTAATTCTTAGCATGTCTATATCCTGCTCCACATATTGTCTCTATGATACAGAATTAAAGAGTGAGATTATGCACTCAAAACAAAATTGCCACCCATCAAACTCATAATTAATGATTTCTTCACATTGCAAAGGTTGTCTATATATTGTGAGCAGGAAGACTTGATAATTAATTTACAAAAAACAAAAACCATGTCTTTTGCTAAAAGGCCAGTAATGCGAACATGGATGATAAATAAGCAGAGAATTGATCAGATCCACCAATTTAAATATTTAGGTGTTGTTTTCCAATCTAGTGGCTCTAGGAAAGCACATGGTGATTATGTGGCATTAAATGCCCAGAGAACTTCTGCTGCAATACTACACTTTATGACAACAAAGGGGGGTCATTACATTCCCTCACCCATTAAATTGTTCCACGCAAATGCAGTAGCCCAACTACTGTATGGCTCCTAATTGGACCCCTTCCCAAATATTGCAACCCTAGAACTACAATCAAATTCCTGAGGGCAACATTAGGAGTCCCCAGGGATGTCGCCAACGTAAAACTAAGATTGGAAACTGGTCAAATTAAAATCGAAGCCAGGATATGGATTGCAATTCTCATGTAGTGGCTCAGACTGTCTCATTCTCCCTATTGGTCTTACACCACTGATCCTGCAAGACACTTTTAAGTCAAAATGGGTTCAGTTAGTTGAACAACAAATAGCCTCTTTGGGTCTCTCTAGGCTGACTCTGTCATCCACGGGAATGGAACAGGCAAAGAAAACCATTAAGCAGTGTATTGAAGACATTGAGAGACAAAATGATCTAAGCAGTGCCCCAGAATTCTATCTTAGGGAGGACAATTTACACAAGGTCACAGCAGCACCTTATTTTGCCCAGTTGGAGCAGCCCAGGCATAGAAGGGCGTTTACTCTGGCCCGGCTTAATGCACTACCTTCAACAGCGCAGGAGGGACGGTATAAAAAGATCCCCTGAGCAGAGCGCCTTTGCCCACATGGAATGGAGCAGATAGAAACAATGGAACACATCCTGCTGCGATGCACATTTTACAAGGATGTACATGAAGAACTTGTCTCCCCTCTGATTGGCCGATTTCCCGGTTGTACAGAGCAACAATGTATGAATATGCTGCTGTCTGACTCCAATCCCGTTCTTACACATAGGGTTGCCAAATTTCTTACTGTTGCAATGGGCATTAGAAAAAGGACCCTAAAGGGGATAAGCTCTGTAGTTAGAGCATGGTTTGCTAGAAATTCTGGAATTGCTTTAGGAGAGATGTTTTGATGCTGTTGTTGTTCACCTCAGAACCGAGTATTTGCATTTGATCCCAATATTTCTGTGTACCTCTGTATATATATATTTCAATGTTTTATTTGTGGCTGGGGTTTTGACTGTAACAGAGTTTTATTTATCTATAATTAATGATGACATTTGAAGCTACAAATTCTGACCTCTTGAGGTTAGTAGTTAATACATTCTACAATATGATTAGCAAAACAGTGGTTTAAATTTTATTCTGTAAATTGAGGCATGTAAACCTGATGATTTTGCCCGTCACAAAGTTCCTAAAGTTTGCCCGTGCCACCTTGAGTTCCCAAGACTCCCATAGAATCTCTTTCATGGTTGGGAAACTGTTGGAAGCTGTAGGACAGGTGGAAATCTTTAACTTCCAAAAATCATAGAAGTAAAGTAATCCTGGCAGCAGCAGTTTTAAAGACAGCCCTCCCCCGCAATCCTGTGGCCTTCAGTGGCTTCCCCATGATGATGACACTACTACAAAACTTTCAGGTGGAAGAGGAATTGGAAATGTTTTATTTCTGAAAAATTAGAACAGCTGATGATATTAGCTTTATGTGACGAAATTTATGCAATACAATTTCAGACTATGAATCCATTGTACAGCTTGTAGCATGTCATAACTAGTGTTTAAATCTGAATGCCAGCTGAACAGGTGATCACAATGTATGTCCAAATTTGGAGACCGTTCGCCATGTCCATGATCTTTCTTTCACACATAATGAATGCCCCAGATTACAGAGTCAGATCAGAATTAGCAACATGTGCCCCTGTCTAATGTTACTCAAAAGTGTAATTCAGGGTTTTGGTAGAGAATTTATTTTGGAGATTCTTGGGATACATTCTCGTATAACAAATTACATTTATCTATGTTACAAAAACCCCAACTGAATTCCTATTTTAAAATATAGACATTAACTGTGGACATCAGCTTAGATGAAATTTTTTAAAAGATTGAACGGTACATGCTGTCGTGACCACATCTGTGTGGATCTTGACCATAAAATTCACTTGTATATTTTATTTATTTGATTTGTATCCTGCCCATCTGGTCTGTTCGACCACTTTGGGCGTCTAGTCTTAATCCTAGTAGTTAAGCATAAATAAAGTTGAGATGTAGTAAAAAAAGGAAACTAAAACAACACAGCTTGTTATACAAACTTGGTCAAAAAGCTTAACTGTAATTATCCTGGAGATGTGCTGCCTTATCCCACAATGCTGTTCATTATTTCTGAATAATGATCTAAAATGTTTGATGACCTCCAGAAATGTTGCTTTGATTCAAACAAGTTGCAGTTGAATTCTCTACAAAATAGATTACAAACAAATTGGGAGTTGTGCCGTAGCTTCTTCTTCTGAAAGTGCTAATTCTGTTATTGAGCTTTGTGTGTGTGTGTGTGTGTAAAATCTCTGTCCCTTCCCCCTTTAATGAAGAGTTTGATGTCTCTATCAAATCTGCTCCTACAAAGTGGTGGTATAGCTTAAGATAATGATGTAAAATAGTCTGTCTGTAGTAAACCAGTCATCCCTGTACTGTCTTTAAATGTAGAGACATTCTTAGCAGCTGTAGTCATGAAGATTAACTAAAACTATGAATAATAATCCAGTCTTGGCAATGTTATGCCTGTTTTTTTCAACAGGAAGACATGAACCTGAATGAAGAACGAAAAGCTCCTTTACGGAATAAAGACTTGACCACAAAACGTGAAATGGTTGTCCAGTACATTTCTGCAACTGCCAAATCTGTAAGTAGGCAGTCTCCCCCCTACAAAGATAGGTTAGAATTATACTCTTAACATAATCTGAATTTTCAACTTAAATCTTCAGATTTCTGCTTCAGTTTATCCTTCCTAGAGCGCTTACAAAGCTTTTCTCATAAAACCTTTTAAAATGCCTTAAACGATAGATAAAAGCCTTAATTAGAATGTATTAGCGTTTCACAACTGCTTGGTAATCTGAAATGTGATGCTGTCTTTTACTGTAAACCAGTAAGTATCTGAAATCCATTGCTCCAGAATAATCATCAAGGTTTTCCAGAACATTTGTTGCATAATTAATTGGACAAACTTGAAAATTGTGCTGGTGGTTGAAAAGCAAAGTACTGTGTCAACATAGTCTGAGAGGCACTGTCCAAGGTGCTGTCGTAGTTCTGGTGCTATGAAAGATAATATCTGGAATCAGAGAATTACATTCTCCTTCCTATGCTTCTATTGTGGCTTTCAGAGCTATTTATTACAAATTTAGTCCCACATACTGCCTCTTAGAGCTGCAGTACTCAGTATTCTGATCAGACATTGCACTGCTTAAAGATTTTTTTTTTGAATTCTGATCAAGGAATAATTCTCAGATATGGAGATACAGAGGTAATGGGAAATGATAAACATATGAAAATCTCATGTGAATTTATTTCAGTAAGTTAAGTGGTTTAATTGGTCAAAGTGAAGGTGTTGATGAAACTTTTCTTCCGTTGAAACAAATAGCTATTTTTCAGTGTTTTGTGATCATAGTATAGCCAAGCAAGCTATCTATAGTATGTTGTTGTTTAGTCATTTATGGTATGTGAGGTTCTGAAACTGAAAGTGATGTGCTTTAAAGATCTTCCATTTCATAACAACGCAGTGGTTGATATTCTGTTTAGCATCTTTGTATTTGCAGAGCTCCAGCAGTGCAATTCTGAATAGGTGTCCATCTCATGCACCTAACCTGCACCTTGTCAGATGACTTCGGCAATTTCTTCAGTTTGAGTTCTGCATATGTAGATAGTAACAGTAATCTTAGCGAGGCATTGCTTAAATGCATAAATGGACCATGCTTAGAGGGTAGTTCTGAGCCTGTTTCTTCTCTGTTACATTATACATTTTGTAAGCAGTCTGCCTGGGAGAGGTTCCTGCTTGCATCTAGACTCTACAGCGAGCAAGAATCCTGGAAAACTGAGACTTTTTATTGTGTAGAGAGAGCTTGCATATAAACAGGCACTTCTCTGCAAATGTCCTGCTTTTCAGAGGGAGAAAGTAATGACAGAGAGGGAAGAGGGTGGGTTGTTCCCTTGTTTGTATGAAGGATAAAAGCAGTGTAAGTAATGCTTAACCAGGGCTTATGTTTAATGCAAATTAGTGCTAGCAAGATTAAAGAGAATTCTGAAATCTTAGGTGAAATGTTATGCCGAACATGTCACCTAACAGGAGAATGATACCTCTTTCCACTGGACATAGATTGTTTGCTGCATTGTTCTGTTTCAATCAATCAATCAAACAAACTCCTCCTCAGAGTAGTTTAAGATTGTTGTTGAAGGTTTTTCAAAAGTCTAAAACTCAGAAAGACTAAAACCTGGCTCCCAGCACTGAAAAATACAGCCTGCAAAAGCTCAACAAACTCTACCCAGCCGCAAGGACCAGTGATCACTGCACACAAAAGACTAGCTAACAACACTCATCAATCACAGTGACAGATCACAACAATACACTCATAAGAAAAAAACACCCTGATCACCATAATCACCCAATCTCCTGAAAAGGACAAAAACCTGATCCCAAGGATACAAATACTCAGCAGTCCCACACACTACACCAGAACACAGAGTTGTAACTCCTGTCCTTTGAAGATGCCAGCTGCAGAGACTGGCAAAAGGTTAGGAAGAAAAACCTTCAGAACACAGCCAAACAGCCTGAAAAACCTACAACAACTGTTGGATGCCAGCCATGAAAGCCTTCAAGAATACATAGTTTAAAATTTCTCAGTGTAGGTAATAATGTACAGTTTTTAAAAAATCATGTATAAATAACCAAAAAGTATGTTGTTTAGAGATGTGAATGATGGTGTTTTAAAATTATAGCTAGTATCTTATGGCTAGCTTCAACATAGTGTAGACCCACTGAATATAGCACCTACAGTATGTAAATGCCATTGGATCAATGGTTGTACTGTAGTTGTGACTAGCAGCAGAACAAGGATCCTCAGCTTCTTTTGTTCATGCCAGAAGTGATTCAGTCATTTCTTAGGAATGGGAAAATTAGCCAGCAAGGTACTGTTGTTGCTCACAAGGGGACCCACAAATGTGTTCACAGTCCTCACATTCTTTGGGAAGGTTCTGTGTCCTCCAGGATTTTAGCTGTAATTCCATGTTAATATACTTTATTCTTATCAACACTTGATTCCACTCCACTGGATATGCATCCTTTGAATGTAAAACCTACAACTGTTGCAGGGAAACATCTGAAATTAATTGTTAATGCATTTGTTCTTCAGCTCTTACGGCATTCCTTTACAAGCTGCTTCTGAGTATTTTCTTAACCACATATTACAGCACTACCAGAACAGACTAGCTGCATGTTTTATAGTTTGCCTTGGTATCCAAGGGCATAAATATGTTTAAAATGATAAGTGAAATTTGCCACCAGGCTAATTTTCAGTAGAATTAGATGATGCATAGGATTTTACTTTGAAATTCCAACGAATCTTCTGCCCAGTTTTATACTCAAGTTATTGTTTGTTGTAAAGTGGTTTGGAAAACACAAGCTTGCATATTCAGTACTATTTTTCAAATACCTAAAGGCAGAAACATAATCATCCTGCATAACTGGATCAGTGCAAAATGTAGATAACAGTACATGAATAATCATGTGTTGTATTAAAATGAAGTAGTTAATGAGATTATATTCATATTTGCCCAGTTGGTTGTAAATATAGAGCAGAGGAGAAAGAACTGGCGAAAGAACCACAAATACTTAGCTAAAAAAGTGCAAAGAGTGTAACTGTATACACAGTCTAATGCAAAATAGACACTCATTGCAGTAATGTGCTTTATTACTTGTTCTGTTAACACAAATGAAGCTATAGTGAATTGCAGCTATATTATTTATTGTGACAGAGATTTCATACATATTTCTTAAAAATTCAGGGGGAATACATTAAATCATAATCAGTATAATCCAATCATATACTTCACAGCTTTATTGAAACAAAATCAAGGATTTTAGATGAACATATTTTGTGCAGATGTACAAGTGCTATTGGTGAGGATAATCTAGAAGTATTTTTGAAGGGTATGGAGGAGAACAAGACAAAATGGTGAATAAAGTGAGATATGCTTTGTACATCATAGAATTTTTGGGGGGACGGAATAAATGTGATAGTTCCTTGAAATGCAGAGTATGTTGCCTTTGTATCCTATTTGTGTTATGTGGTGTTAGAGCAACAGTTAATGCATTATCAGATCTCTCAGCAATGTTTTCACTAATATGTGGGTGAAATAACATGTGGTACGGGATGTCCCTTCCAGTGGTCCTTGACTTTCTTGTTGCCTTAGGTGGTGGGTCCAGGGAAGACAGGATAATTTTTGCGACCTTGACTTTCAGAATCAAGTTTGGTTAGGAACATTAGCTATACTGCATCCCCTTTGTGGCTGTGATCCCTTGTCAACCATGCTTTTAAAATGAGAGGCGGACAGTGAGTCTTAAGTGTTGGTCCACATACTAAGACTTCACCACTGTATAAATTTATTTATTTTTGATACTATGCCTTTCCCGCAGGAATGGGACCCATTAAAGTACTACAAATGTAATTAAAACTGTAAAGTTTAGGATACAGATTTAGAGAATAATTTAAGATAATCTGTAAAAAAAAAAGAAAAGAAAAGAAAAAGAAAAACAGATTCCTTAATCTGTTCCAAGGGTCAGTCAAAATGGCAAAATGAGTTAGTGGCAAGGTGTGGCACTGGATTCCTGGTGCTGGTCTTATTGTAGTTCTGTCTCTTGAAGCAGCAGAAATCAACAGAGTAGACCTTTGCTGCCTGGAGTAGATCTTTGGTCTAGATGGGCGGGGTAGAAGTCTAATAAATAAACAAACAAACAAACAGTGCTTACACTGTACAAAGGTGTTTTAGAAGTGTTGGCGAGTAGGAATCTGGGATATCTCAGTGCTTCCTACCATAGCTATTGTAGAACCTGCTTGTCCAATGAAAGCCACATCAGGAATATGATTGTGCTCTCCAGTTAGTAAAGGATTATCGACAACCTATTGTTGCTTTCATAACCTTCATTTTCTATTTTTCACTGCTTAACTTAAAGGTAGGCATTCTGTTCTCCTTTGTCATGACCTTAGGAGATCTCAGGCACAAATATCAAAGGGGGGGGGCAACTTGCTATCAACCCTTCATCCTAGAATTCTAAAAAGAAATTACTGGTTTTGGAGAACGTAATCAGTTTCTTGCTCTGTTCATGTGCCCATTTATGTGTGTGCATAGTCACATGGGCTTAATTATTAAATTCAGGCAGAGGATTGTTTAGATTCTAAGATTAAAAATATGGAGCTCTATTCAGTCCAACATTTTGTTGGATGTAGCAAATGTACCTTGGAATTTATTTATTTTTATTGAAGCAGCCAACCTCTAGCAAACTTCTTCTCAAAACAAAGTATGTGATTTTGACTACAGAAGTTAAAATGTGTGCTTAAAATGTGTTTTAAATGTTTGAATTTCTTATGTCTGCATGCACTAATGTAAAATGTATTCCTAATCAAGCAAGCACTCAGTTCATAGTATTGAAATGTTACGGATATAGTGAATTAAAATGCTTAAAACCACCACTTTTACACCTTATTGAGATGACTTAGCAAGTATTTTTTAAATGTCATGTGGAATCTCTTTTAACAATTACTAACTACTAAATACTTGACTAGTTTTCTGAAATGCTTCAGCTTACTTATTTTATTTTATTTTTTATTTTTATTTTGCTATCACTACTCTCCGTTGGTCACTGCATGCAGATTATTGGAAGTAAAGTTCCGGTGAGTATAAATACAGTATGTCTGAATTTGCAGGTGCATGTCATAACGCTAAGAAAAATATTCAAGTTATTTGCTATTACTGTACTTTGTATTGGCTTCTTGCATATCTCTTTACTTTGATGTAGCAGACATATATTTTGCTGTAATTCTTGGATAAAAAAGATTAAAGTTTGAAAATTTACTATAGATCTAGCTATTTAAAAGCATATTAAAAGAAAACAGAAGTCTTTTTAATGAGGAAAGATTTTAATAGCTAGTAGTTGTGGATCAGTTAAATGGATACAGTAAGAACATTTACACAGGGAGAAAGTGTTCACTGGGGATCTGGAACTGGTAAAGCCATTCCTTAAAAATCTCACACTGTGAAAGCCCTATTAGGGTTGCTCAAAGTTGGTTCCAACTTGATGGCACATTACAATAACAAGATGGATGCAGTGTATGTATGTTTATAAATAAAGAAAATAAAAATAAACCAGGAGAATTTTATTTGCTGTAAAACTGAAATTAGCATAGGAAGAAGTCTAATGTTTCAGACTTCAGATGTTATCACTGATCACACATCTAAAATTCATGGCAATTTCTTCCCTTTGATATAATTATGTATGTGTTTGTTATTTGAATGCCAGATGAATAGGTTATCCACTTGCAATGTGTTTTCTTTCTTTTTATTTTTTTCCTTGCTGCTCTGTTAAACCTGTGCTAGGCATAGCAGGTGTTACTGCGATTTATAGAGAGCAAGGAGACTGCCAGCCAGATTTCTAGTTTGTTGGCAGTCAACTCCAGCCAACTATTTTTCATTAACATAGAACTTGTAAAGAACTTGTAGACTGGAAACTGGTCTAAAAACCCAAACAAACAAACAAACAAACAAACAAACAAACAAACAAACAAACAAACAAACAAACAAACAAACAAACAAACAAACAAACAAACAAACAAACAAACAAACAAACAAACAAACAAAAAACACAAGAAAATTCAGTTCTTCAGCATTGTATATATCTAGTCTAGCTCAGAAAAGTTGAATGTTAAAAGGAAATATTTTAAGTAGAGATGGGCATGAAATACTTCATGCCCCTTCATCATCATTGCTTTGCCCTCCCTCTACCTTACCCACTGAGTTGCCAATGCATGCTGCTGTGTCCGTCTCCATTGCACATCTTCTGGTCTTCCGGTCCAGGTAGGAGCCTGGACTTTCTTTCTCTGCCTCCTCCATCAGCTGGCCATTCAGACAAGGAGGCAGGGTAGAGATTCATGCCTATCTCTGATTTCAGGCAAAAGAGGGGTAAGGCGGGATAGGAGCATTGAGCACAAATAATTTTTTTTTAAAAACTACAGCAAAATGCTTGTCTATATAATCCAATACTGAGCAGTTGACTATAACAAGAGGGTCACATCAGCACTCTGTAGCCTCTTGAACTGGATGAGGGGAGAGTGACAAAACCTTAGGAACAATATTTCATTTTCAATGAAATCAAATCAATACTGTATAGGGTGACAGCTGTGAGAAGGTCAGTCGAAGGAATTTAGGCCTGTGGAAGCAAGGGGTACTTGTGGAAAAGGGAATTAATGGCAAAAATTCACTATAGAAGGTGAGAAGATAGACTAAGATTACTAGTCTTTTCCCGCCAGGCATCTGTGAGTATTAAAATGGATGGTTTTGTTCATGAATGGCAGGGCATCAGGACATGGTGTCTTCTGTTCCAGCCAACTTTATGGAAGAGTTCAGATTACAGGCTTTCTAGGGGTAGCAATATGTGACAGATGCTAATAAAACAGTGGGCATACAGTACAGTATTTGACTGTCCCAGAAGATGTTCACAAGTCAAAACGTTTGTAAGTGAAATCAGCATTTCCCATAGGAATGCACTGAAACCCGATTAATCCATTCCGGCTGTTTTTTGTTCTAATTTCTAGGCGCGGTTTGTAAGTCGAAGTATTAGTTCCCATAAGAACTAATGCAAAACCGGTTAATCCGTCCTCTACCACTAGGGGGAGAATTTTTCTTTTAACCAAAGATGTACAGTGGTGCCTCGCTTAACGAGTGCCCCGTTTAACAATGAATCCGCATAGCGATGGGGTTTTTGCGATCGTTTTTACGATCGCATTGCGATGTTTTAATAGGGTAAATATCGCATTGCGATGATCGTGGGGAAGCACTTCCCCATGATCATCCCAAAGGCCCTGCCGATCAGCTGTGTTGTGAGGGGTGGAGAGAGAGAGCCAGCCCGAAGCACAGCTGATGGACGGGGGTTTGCGAAGATCGCAGGGAAGCCAGCTTCACAAACCCCCACCGACTTTGGCTCTCTCTCTCTCTCTCTCTCTCTCGCAACTCCAGCCTGGGCAGGGAGACCGAGTGTTTTAATGCGTTCCTATGGGGTTTTTAGTCCCGCATAGCGACGAATCTGTATAGCGACAATTTTTTCGGAACGGATTATCGTTGCTATGCGGGGCACCACTGTACTTAGGTTTAAAAAGGGCAGGAAAGGAGGGAGGGAACAATGGAGAAAAGAAGAAAGGTCATCGCTGGGGCACACAGATCCCTCAGACAAAGGTTTGTGCTTTTAAGCACAAAAAGAGAGAAGACACACAGAAGACAATGTGGGGGGGGGAGAGTTTGGAGTGGGTTTTTAAACCCACACATGCTAAACCCACACATTTTAAACCCATATGTTTTACAACAACACATTTTAAACCAAGCAACCAAAAGACTAAAATGCATTTTACAGGCCAACAGCCAAACAGATCTTTGCAAACAGTTTTCTGATTTTAAGACCAAAGGACTAAAATGCATTTTAGAGGCCAGCAGCCAGATAGACCTTTGCAAACAGTTTTCTGATTTTAAAACCAACAGCCAGCACAGAAACATAAACCCCCCACCTATCCCAACCCCAAGCTGCAAAACCCCTGTACAGTAAATACAGTGTACTCACCCAGAACAGGCAGTCTCTCTGTTCTAAAAAAGAAAGTAAAAAAAATCCAAAAATAAAAAAAATAAAAAAGCCAAAAAAACCCCACCAATCTATACAGTACAATACAGAACCAGGCTGTACAGTACCAGGCAGTACCAGACAATAGGCAGTCTGAAGTCTCTCTCTATATCCACACACTCTAACCACTAGGGCGAGCGAGGTAGCAGTCAAGCAGCCTCTTCACTGGCCAACAGTTAACTGAAGTTCAAATTTCCCACCTTCCCTGTGTTTTTTTGTTCGTAAGTCAAAGCTCCGTTCGCAGCTCAAAGCAAAATTTTGCGAACAGAGCTGTTCCTAACTCAAAATGTTCATAGGTTGGGACGTTCGTAAGTCAAGCCACCACTGTACTAATTCTTGATTGCATTAAACCTTTCTCTTCAAGTTAGAATTACTATCCCTACTGAGGTGCAAAAATAGGCACATTTTGGTCAGATTTTAAGAACTGGAAAATTTTATATTTTAGTTTGTTTTTTTTTCAGTAAAACCAGTTTGTTTTTTTCCAGTAAAAACCATTATTAAATTGGATATATGATGCCCAATGTTTTCTTCAGTACATCCACATCTTTGTTAATAGAATTGCTGATACTAAAGTTCCATAAGGGAGCACGTAGATGTTTCAAATGAAATGGTGGAGTCTATTAACATGAATTTTTAACATCTGTAAATGTACCCTATGTTTATTTCAACATGTAGTAACCCAACAGATTATAATAACATTTCACTAATGTCTAAGTATATTATATAGAAGCATTCAGGAGAAAATGACTGCCAAACGACTAAGACCCTTAAAACAAATGCAAATGCACTCAGGTTTCTGTGGACTGTTAACAACAGTGAACCCTGTTTAGTTTAGAAATAAATCAGTGATATTGCTCGGAAGATGAGGCAGGATCTGGAGAACACTTTTAAAAATACATTTTAAAAGTACTAAAGTGGCTCAATTGAAGCTATTCATTGCATGTACAGTGGTGCCTCGCTTACCAATCACTCCGTTTGATGAAATCGCTTAGCAACGGGGTTTTGGCCATTGCCAGAGCGATCGGTTAGCGATGGCCCCTATGGGGACAAATCGCTTTGCAGTCATGGCAAAGCGACCCTTGCACGTCCAGGAGGAGGTGGGAGGATCCACCCGGAGGAGAGCAGAGCAGCGGCGGGCTAAGGGGGAGCCTCTCATCCCGGCCAAGGGATCCTGTGGAAGCCCACCCTCCATTGGGAGTCCCCACCACCACCACTGGCCGTTCTCTCCTCCGCCGGCTTCCCCCTTTCGCCTTCTAGCCTGGAGTCCGTCTTCCCCCCTCCTCGCAAGGAGTGCTTCTACGGCCACTTGGGCCATCAGGACACCCACAGGTCCACCTCTTGCCTCTCCAAGCCGGGGTGTGTGTCAAAGACTCTCCACCCCAAACCCCCCATACAGCCGCCTCCATCCCCCGCCCTCCAAATGGCAGTTTTGCTCTGCGGTGGGGAAAGAAGCACTGCCTTCCACCACACACACACCCGCCTGCCTTGCCTTGCGCCCAAGGAGCAGAGAGGGCTACGGGGCTGACTCCTCCTCAGACCAGCAGGCTCCTGCTGCTGCTGCTCCAGATTAGGCAGCACAGGGAGCGCCCACTCTTTTCTCCTTTTTTTTTCTCCTCGCCTCCCCTGCCTTCTGTCTTTTTTTCCCTTCCCTTCCTTCTTGCTCTCTCGCTCTCTTCCAAGCCAGGCTCAAGCAGGTGGAGCTTGGGGCCCTGGGCGGCCAATCCCAGCCGTCCGGCCTTGGGCTCCATTGGGGCGAGGGGAAGGGGAGCGTCCTCACACACGTGCGCGTGCAAACACACACTTGGTCGAGGAAAGCAGTGGCGGGCTCAGGCAGCCGGGCGGGAGAGAAAAGAGAGAGAAGGAGAAATGGCTCCCTGGACAAGGAGAGCAGATGCGAACGTTGCTCCTTCCCGCTTTTGCAATGCTTTTAAGCAGCTGATCGGGGGTTTCAAAATGGCCCCCCTGCTGTTTTGCTCACTTAAGAGGGACCGAAAATGGCCACCCCTATGG